TTTGTACCCACACGAATGCACGGATATTTGAACTTATTAACCAAACAGTTCTTCTACCATAAAAATAGCAAAAAAAAAAAAAAAAAAAAAAAAAAGAGTGAGACTGCAGATTGCATCTAAGAAATTATTTTAGTCCAAAACATTTTATTTATTTTTAGAAACAGGGTCTCACTCTGTCACCCAGGCTAGAGAGCAGTAGCCTGATCATGGCTCACTGTGACCTCAAAGTCCTGAGCTTGAGTGATCCTCCTACCTCAGCCTCCCAAATAGCTGGGACTACATGTGCATGCCACTATACCCAGCTAAGTTTTATATTTTCAATTTTTTTGTAGAGACGGGGTCTTGCTATGTTACCCAGGGTGGTCTAGAAATCCTGGCCTAAAGTGATCCTCTCGCCTCAGCCTCCCAAAGTGTTGGGATCACACACCCAACCCCAAAACCTTTTAAGTATTACTGATAAACATTAAGAGGTAACACCAAGAACTAATAGGAAAAAGATATATCATTAAAAGTGAAAATACCTTTTGAGCACTGGTAAGTATTCAAAACCAGGAGAGCAGGAGCCTTTTAATAGAAATTCAAAAAAGTCTAAAAAATTTTGTGGTGAAACTAGGAATGGTTACCATAGCAACAGATGACTCTTGAGAAGGAAAATGGCCTTGTAAAAATAAAGTCAATATTTCCATTTTTATCTTAGTATTATTATTATTATTTTTGAGACAGAGTCTCTCTCTGTGGCCCAGGCTGGAGTGCAGTAGCATGATCTCCAGCTGGTGGCAACCTTCACCCTCAAGGTTCAAGTGATTCTCATGCCTCAGCCTCCCAAGTAGCTGGGATTACAAGTGCATGCCCCCATGCCTGGCTAATTTTTTGTATTTTTAGTAAAGAATAGGTTCCACCATGTTGGCTAAGCTGGTCTCAAACTCCTGGCCTCAAGTGATCCACCTGCCTCGGCCTCCCAAAGTGCTGGGATTACAGGCGTGAGACACTGCACCTGGCCAAATATTTCAATTTTTAAATGACATATTAGTTCACCTCTATCCCAAAAGAAAGGTTATAATCTTGTTTAAATTACAGATGTATTTTATCTCAATCACATAAAATATTTAGAATATTCTGACATAAATTACTGAACACAATAAAATGTACTAAAGCTACAGTATCACTGTTACTATTAATCAGTAATCCACTGGGTTTCTTACATCGTAAAGGCCTAGGGAAGAAATCAGAAGTTTCATGGGAAGTCACAGATGGCGTCAGATCATCCGCAGAAGACTGAGTTTCCTCGTCATCACCTGACAACAAGTCTTTTGCTATTTCCTCCTGGAAGAATAAGAAGGCAGTGCTAGAGTTAGAAATGATTACATCTCATTAATTAAGAAAACTATCTTTTTATAACATATAATTAAGAAGCAGTTGGAACCTTATGAAAGAAATATGAAATTCTCCTATTATTTACTTCACGTACAAAAATATTTAGTATTTGATATTATGTAATATTCAATAATATACTATTAAATGATAATTAGTGCAACTATATACTTATAACAAACAATTGCCTAATTTGTGGGTATACAGAGAGCTTATCTAAAGCTGTAGGCTAATTTTTAGTGAATTTACAACAAAAATAGTCTGACTTTTAAGTGCTTAACAATTATATTCATTTTCTGTCAATAATAAAATAAAACTGAAAAAATGCCTCCAACCTTCACTCTTCCATAATTTAAAAATCCAACTAATGAACAGCTCTGACTACTGACATAATTTTAAAAGAAACACGTTTGAATTAATTTTTATGTAAGTATACAGTCATCCTTGTGCCTAGCACATAGTAGCCACTCAATAAATACTTGTTGAATGACTATGGTCATTAAAGTCTGTGGTACATTAATATCACATTGACTTAAAAGTGGGAACAATGTAACTCACAGGAAGAGGTTCCAAGATGTGGATTCCTCTCCCTGCCTGAGATCTGAAAGGCAAGGAAAGGTTCCCAGGGATCTGTTAGCAGAGGCCATGGCCGTGTGAATTTTCCTCAGTAGGGACTAGGCCTCCCCACAACCAGCCTATGTTAGAGATGGATCACCGTGGTCTTGGCTGCTGCGGCCGCTGTCACTCCCAGAGCCAAGAAAACAGAACTTCTCTCCAACCACTCCACGCCTAAGCCAGCTTGGTTTGAAGGCTTCTGGGGGATTTATTAATCAAGGCTTTTATGTGTTTATAGGATCAAAAGAAGTTAAGCCAAGATCTAAGTTTAGATACAATGTGTCTACACAGGAAAGATGAAAACATTACGGGAGAATATTCAGGCATGCAAAGTACCATGAAGCTGCTATTAATACTACTCTTAACATAGTGTGATCAAAGCCAAACAATGTTTATATCAGCCACCGAAATAAGCACAATGGGTCAACAAGAAGTTTACATTTAAGAATTATTAAATAATACTTTAAATGGAAAAAAAAAACTCTAATAAAAGCAGTCAATGGTAACAGATCCTGAATTTTTCTTTCAAATACTCACACTTACTTTGTCTAGTGTCATGTCTGGTAGTTCATCTGCCAGTTCACTTGGGGAACTATTTGCACTGGAATTTGCAACTGCTGGAATCGTAGGTTCATAGCCATAGAATGCCAGTAAGTCTTCTAGAGGCATGGTTCCTTCCTGTTCAAGCCAGGGCATAAACACAGACTTAGCAGATGTCACAATACTGAACTGCAGGTAAACTCTACTGTCCCCTTAGGTTCATAAAGCACATTATCACTACAGCAGAACAAATCAAAGGCAAGCTTCAGTTTTTCTTTTTCTGCTGTTGTCAGAAAACAGGACCAAACACCTAGACCTATAATTAATGTATAAACAAAAGCCTAACAATTAACACCTTAGTTTTTATTTTCCAGAGGCATTTTACTATTTTAAAAATTCCTCAAATATTTGCTTTAGTGCTTTTTAGCTTTCAAGTTAACATAAAGATTTGCCCTGAAAACATTTCCAATTAATCAATCAATAACTTGTAATTCACAGCTTCTTTCCATGCATTTAACAGCTGACCGCTTGCTTTATTCTTCATGTTAATTAGAAGACGCCTGGTAGAAAAACTTTTGCTGAATGTTTACTAACATCAGCAATATTTATGTTCAAAGCACAATTATCCTTTTATATTCTTACTACATCCCATATTTTTATACCAGTTTTTTTAAAACAACTGTCTGAGGAAGATTATACTATTATCACCATTTTACAGGTGAGAAAACTGAGGCTTAATTCCGGGTTTGAATCCCAGTTCCCCAGTTATCTTACTGGCTTCTTTAATAAAATTACATGCCCCGGCTACAGTGCTGCCTATGTTATGAATACCTATGCCATGCCTCATAGTGACACCAAGTCACTGTTTCCCTCTCAGGAATCCATGTGAAAATAAGTGTTACGATATACTACATAACATTCAGTGCATGCAGACTGCATATACAGCCAGGCTGCATATACAACTGTGTTAGGAATGATATGCTACACCATATAGCCTAGGTGTATAGTAGGCTACATTAACTACTTTTGTCTAAGCATACTATATGATGTTCACACAGCAATGAAACTGCCTAATGACGCCTTTCTCAGAATGTATTCCCTCGTTCAGCGACACATGACTATGTTTTAACTACTAAAGTGTATAGAACTATTTATTATTCAAGGCCGGTCACAGTGGCTCACACCTGTAGTCCTAGCACTTTGGAAGGCCAAGACAGGCAGATCACTTGAGGTCAGGAGTTCGAGACCAGCCTGGCCAACATGGTGAAACCCCATCTCTAGTAAAAATACAAAAAAGAAAAAAAAAGGAACTATTTATCATTCAAATAAATAACTTCAAAACAATATACTCATGAACTAGTTAATCTGTTAAATATTTTTAAGATTTCTGTATCCATCAATTAAAAGATTTTTAAAATTTGCTTATGGTTTAGTTTTCCCTTTAAAATAAAATAATCCATAAAGCAAACAGCATCAAAACGCTAAAGCAGAGTATGCAAAACATGCCCACAGTTGATCACAAAGTGACCTGAGAAGAGCCAGTGACGATTCCTTACAGGGCCAGCTGGCTGCCCACAGGGCCCACAGGGGATGCACCTTTGCAGGTATGGAACTTACATAATTCATTGTGTATAACTAAAACAGATTCATGCTAAATGAACTTACACAATCAGGTATATGATAGAACACTAATTTATAAATTTGCAGTAGTAGACATACACCTTTCTAATGACCATAAATGATCATGAAAATCTTTTTTAGCTTGGGATTTAAATCGACCAAAACTCCTTTGGGAGCATGGAGTCAGCATAAATTGAGTTGGATTGTCAGAACAGGGTGAAGTTCACTTACACCACAGGGAAACTTCCATGAATTATTTTTCTTCCAAACCAAAGAATCCCTTGAAGGTAACAAGACTCAGATTTAGAGTCTCTCTACAGTCCTATCCTGCTCCTTGCAGAGTCCACGTAGCCCATTCCCTTTGGCTCATATTGGTTCTAATTTAAGAGGTGCCTGGGTTGCAGCCTTTGCCAAGCACCTGTCAGTAGTATTTCTCCAGAACCTCACAGTTTGTCTTTCTTCCTGAAACGGGGAGTGGCAATTTTCAACTCTTATGCACTGATGGTCCACCTTCCCATCATTTACTCAGTTCTAAGTACTTGGCTGAGGGCTACTAGCTACTGGCTACTGGACATAAAAATTAAATTTACTGAAGAATCCCTGCTCACAAGGAATTCAGTCTTAGTGGGGGAAACTGATGAGTTAGCCATTATAACACAATGTGATGACTTCAATATTCAATTGTGAGTATAGAGAAGGGCAGATCTACATCCCAAGAATACTCGTATGGAGTATGGGGGTATGCACAGAGGGTGAAGACTGAGCTAAGTCTTGAAAGATGACAAGGCTTCTGACAATACACAAATATAGGGCTGCCAAGTTTGATGAGTGTAACAAACAGAGCACTGAGATACAGAGTAACACTCGGGGCCCGCTTTCAGAGGGTAGCAGGGAGAGACAGTCAGCAATCTTCAGCAGAGGCCTGAAGTCTGAGAAGGCCAGTCCCGTGAAGAGTATTCCAGGCAAAAAAATTGACACATGTGAGGCCTGAAGGGCTGAAGGTGGTTTCCTACTAAGCCAAGTGGCCAAAGTTTGGTGAGTAGAATGAAGAATGGTTCAAGACAATGGAAAGAGAGGCAGGGACAGATCATAAAGGGCCTCAGGGCCAAGGAAAGGAACCTGGACTTCATTCCCAGGGCAATGAGGAGCCATCGGAGACTCATAAAAAGGGAGTACCATGGCATTATTTCTTCTTAAAATACTGAACACCTGCATGAAGAAAAGTTGAGAAGGGTGGAGAGATACAGGAGAAGCAGGGAAACCACTTAAAAAGCCTCGTGCTAGGCGAGGGTAGTGATACACAAGAGGAGAGAAGTGAAGAGAAGAGACATATTCTGAGGTAGAACCAAATGGGTCACTGGACGTGGGAGGGAAAGGGAAGGACTCCTCCCCAGTTTTCTATTTGATCAATTGCCTAGATGGTGGTAACTTCTGCCAAGATAGAGAATACTAAAGGAATAAAAGGTTTTTGAAGGAAACAAAACAAAACAAAACAAAAACAAGAGTTCTGCAAAGCACACGGTTAAGTTTAAGAGGACTATGAAACATCCAAGTAGAAAAGTCAGGTTGGCCAGGAGCCTGGAGCTCAGAGAACCAGGCTGGGCTAAAGATATAAATCTGGCATTCATTAGCATCTAGATGATATTTAAAACCACAGAAGTTGATGAGCTCACCCACGGAGAGGGTAGAGAGAAAAGAGGAGGGGATCTATGCTTATCAGAAGAACTTTCAAGTATGTTACACTATGGGCAATGGGTATGTCTGAAAATTCCTAAACATGATTCGTATTTTGGAAATAATGTTCTAAGGGAAGTAGAATGAGAGCCTGAACTAAGAAGGGGGATTATTTGAGTGAAATTTAGGGAAAGATCCATTTCTTGAGTTACTTGATAGAAAGAATGAAAGCAACATAGGAGTTCAAATGGATTGCCAGATTTCTGGCCTGGGAAGTTAGGTAACTATAGCACCACTGAGACAGAAACACAAGATAAATTTAAGGATGGGACAGTAATGATCAGTTTAAGGTGAAAGCTAAAGCAGTGGTTTGAGTGAGATCACCCAGAAAAGGCACACAGAGTGAGAAGACAATAGCCAAAACCCCAGAGAATGTTAATGAAAATGCGGGCAAAGAAAGAAAAGATCATAAAATAAGGAGGGAGAAGTCAGACAATAGAACCAGGAAAAAGTAGGATTCCATAAATTAAGGCAGAAACAAGTATGGATAATCAGGAATGGTCACTTGGGTCAAATTCCAAAAAGAAATTAAGCAAGAAAAAGACAAGAAATCTTAGTATCTGGCAATCAGGAATTATTGGTGACCTGGGCCAGGCGCAGTGGCTGCTGCCTGTAATCCCAGCACTTTGGGAGGCCAAGGTAGGATAGCTTGAGCCCAGGAGTTGGAGACCTGCCTGGGCATAGAAAGACCCCTTCTCCACAAAAAACTTTTTTTTTTATAATTAGCCAGGGTGGTGGGATGCACCTGTAATCCCTAGGCTTTGGAAGGCTGAGGTGGGAAAATTGCTTAAGCCCAGGGGGTCAAGGTTGCAGTGAGCTATGATCATATCACTGCACTCTAGCCTGGGTGACAGAGTGAGACCATCTCTACATAAGTAATTATTGGTGGCCTTATGGCACGGTGGAAGAAGCCAAGCTAAGGACTGAACGGGAGGGGAAGAAGGTACATATGTGACTTGAGATTTGGCTACAAAAGGGGAGTGACTGAGGGCAACACAAGATCAAAAGAGAATTTCTTCCAAATGTGGGATCTACATGAGTAGGATTCTTATGTGGAAATTTTAAAAAAAGGGTAAAAGAATAAATTGAGGGCAGGAGGGATAGAATCTAGAGGTTAGCCTGGGATATCACAGATACTTCACAGGACAGGAGGGAAAGAATAATATGAAAGTTTGTATATGTGAGGGAGACAGGAGGTTCCCAGCACTCACTCAAGAAAACCCCCACTTTTCTATAAAGACACAGGCATGACCATCTGTTGAGGGAGAAGGTGACCATCTTCATAGAAACCTCATTAATAAGTTCAAGTGATCACAGTGGTGGCCAGAGGGTTGATGCTAAAACACAAATCATTTGTACCAAAACTTTTAAAGCAAAACTGGAAAAGGTGACTCTAGTCTCTGAAGCACTTCACAAATGAGCTTTCTATGAGAGCCTATTAATAAAGCACTTAAGTCCTTTAAAACATAAAAACAATTTTTTCAAAATTGAATTAGTAAGTCTCAAAGTCTGTAAGGATCTGTGGTAGCTAAATCAGCTTAGAAGTGTGATCCAACACCTTATCCCAGGTATAAGGATTTTTCTCTTCCTTTCCTTGGGTATTTTGTTGAACCTATTTACATTTTAAGGAACACAGTAGAATGTAGTCACACTTATAAATGAACTGTTCTATAAGTCAAAGGATTTATATCAGGAAGAGTACCATATTTAGGGCAGAAGACCCACTAATTGCTAACCATTATATTGGACAAATCACCTAATCCCTCTCACCTCCATTTCCTCACATACCATCATTTCCTTGATCCTATGATGCACTCCCTCACGTATCAGAATCAGGATGTAGCCTGATACTAAAGTGCAAACTTCATATACAAGTGTTCCTCCCCCTACCCCTACACTGTTTAGAAATTAACAGTAGGCTGGACGCGGTGGCTCACGCCTGTAATCCCAGCACTTTGGGAGGCCAAGGTGGGCAGATCACAAGGTCAGCAGATCGAGACCATCCTGGCTAACATGGTGAAACCCTGTCTCTACTAAAAACAAAACAAAAAAAATTAGCTAGCTGTGGTGGTGGGCACCTATAGTCCCAGCTACTTGCGAGACTGAAGCAGGAGAATGGTGTGAACCCAGGAGGCGGAGCTTGCAGTGAGCCAAGATTGCGCCACTGCACTCCAGCCTGGGCAACAGAGCAAGACTCCGTCTCAAAAAAAGAAAAAAAAAAAAAAAGAAAAGAAATCAACACTACGTCCTACAATCAACAAGGTCTCTGAGCCTAGAAAAATAATGCCAACGTTCATCTGACACAACTGATGGCATTGCTGGATGGACCAAATGAGACTGTCTGAGATGCATTTCATGTTAATAACTAACGCCTGTCTGATACCTTAAGGCACAGGCTGCTAAACAATACACATATAATTTGCTTAAATGTCTTGTGATCTTTTTTTTCCCAGACAGGGTCTCAGTCTGTCACATACTCGGGAATACAGTGGCACAATCATAGCTCACTGCAACCTTGAACTCCTGGGATGATCAAGTGATCCTCCCACCTCAGCCTCCCAAGAAGCTGGGGCTACAGGTATGCACCACCATGCCCAGCTAATTTTTAAATTTTTTGGTAGAAATGGGGTCTCACTATGTGACCCAGGCTGGTCTCAAGACTCCTGGGCTCAAGCGATCGTTCCACTTTAGCCTCCCAAAGTGCTCAGATTACATGTGTGAGCCACCGCCCCCAGCCTAAATGCTTTTTCTTTTTTTCTTTTAACAAAAAAGAAAAAACCTATACTAAAGTCTAAGTGGTAGAAAAAATGATTTTTTACTTTCTCATTTGTGCTTTTCTGAATTTTTGAATTTTTCTCACAGTGAACACCAAGGGGATAATTATATATTAATAAAAGCAGAAATAAGTACTCTTTAAAAAGTTCTACCAGCCAGGTGCGGTGGCTCACGCTATAATCCCAGTACTTTGGGAGGCCAAGGCGGGTGGATTGCCTGAGGTCAGGAGTTCAAGACCAGCCTGGTCAACATGGCAAAACCCCATCTCTACCAAAAATACAAAAAGTACCCAGGTGTGATGGTGGATGCCTGTAATCCTAACTACTCGGGAGGCCGAGGCAGGAGAATCACTTGAACCCAGGTGGCACAGGCTGTAGTGAGCCAAGACTGTGCCACTGCGCTCCAGCCTGTGCAATGGAACAAGTCGGCTTCTCAAAAAAAAAAAAAAAAGTTCTACCTATAAATCTAGGACTATTGAAAGCTCTCAGAAGGCAGTAATATGAATACATTAAAATATATAAAGATATTACATAAACCCTATTTTAGTATGTTTAATAACTAAAATCTAGCCACATATTCTATACTCAAAGAGCTACTAAAAGAAAATTACTTTTGTACTTACCTTATTTTCCATAACACATGATGTACTAAAAATTTGTGAACACTAAAATATGGGCCATATTACAGTCAACACACAACTGAGTTTATTTACTATGAACATAAAAACTTATAATTCTTGAAAATGAACATTAACATCAATCCCCTAAGACTATTAATACGCACCAATACCTAAATCACTATTCCACTAATCTTTCCACTAATAAAAGATTAATACACTATTTCAAGTTATATAGAAATAATTAAAACATAATTTGAAATTCCTTCTAAAAACTTGATCCTTACTCTTTATATTTGTGTCTCTACTGTTTTTTTAATTCATTTTCATGTTTCTTTAAACATCAATAAAAATAATAGAGACCACATGTATACAGTTGCACTTTACTACAGATAAAAACCACAGATCAGAGCAAGTGGGAGGGCAGTTAAGTCACTCTTCTGTTTCCCTGTGTATTAACGTGAAGAAGGAAATAAAATAATACTCCACTCCTGCCTCACAAAGCTACTAAGCGGAGGAGATGATATATATATAAGAATGTGCTTGCCCTTTTTAAGAAAAAGAAGTATAGGATAACTCAGGGGATAAGTATCATTTCTGAAATCTTTTGTTATTCTGGCTGATTAGAAATTTTCAAATATGGTTAAGTAAGCATAAATCCTACACGTTTTCAAGGTAACCCCTATAGGGACCTCTCTATATACAGTCCTGGTATAAATGCATGTTAAAAATACAGTTCATTTGAATTTATATTGACTTGGGGCTTAAAAAATTATAAATTACACTCACTCTTGCCAATCTTTTAAAAGATGACTTTTAAAGGAGCAGGGGATGGGATATTACCAATTTATATTTGAAAATACAGTAAACCTTTTTCAATTTTCTTAAAATATTCCACTAGATTATGAGTTATTTGAAGGAAAAGACTTCTCTCTGTATCTACTATAGTACTTAGCCAAATTCAAGTTTGACCCTTAGCAGAACAGTATGATATAATGGGAAGAGGGCTAGACTAGGATTCAGAACTAATCTTAGGGCCTATAGTTTTCCGTATCTCAATTTTCTCATCTGTAAAATGCCTATGTGTACCTACTTCACTGTGCTGATATAAGCTTAAAAATTAGGTTAAGAGATACAAAATAATTTTGAAAAATTAAATGAAAACACTTATTAGGCTATCCCCCAAAATAAAAGTGAAAACAAAAAAAAGGATTATGATCCTATTTTTATTTCAGGTAGATTATTTTAAAAATTACAACAGAATTTCAAACTCTTTATAAATGTGTATATTAAAGTAAATCTTATACCTTTTCTAAGTCTTCAATTTCAGAACTGAAGTTTTTACCCTCATCCATCATTTCCTCTTCTTCAAGAGTTCTTTCATCATCATAGTCATGGACCAGCATCTCAGCAGTGGGGTCAAAATCATGATCTTCAGAAGACAAAGACCCAACTGGAATAAAACAAACTGAATCACTTTACACATTTAAAAGGCTATTAACAAAATAAAATAAAAATTTGTGTTCTTCTGCCAGTTCCTTTTAATGTTTACATGAGGGTTTTACTAAATGAATTTACTATATACTTTATAGCTTATAAATTAAGACCCTATGATTCTGAAAATATGTCTAAACCAGCAAAATAACAAGGCAAAGTTATTCACAAACACTTTTATAAGGGGTCTAGTCCACAAGAAAACATCTTATAACAACAAAGTGATTTAAGCAGCATGGTCTTAAAGAAACATTCTAATAGAAAAAGGAGTCAAACTTGCTTATCAGTTCATTTAATACAGCTGTCTAAACGCAAAGCAAAATGTCAGAAGAATTAAATTTCCATGAACGGAAGATTTCACAAGAATCTACGATACACTAAGACTCACACTTCAGGATAATATAAATTTTACTCAAATTCTAACCCTCAAATAAACACAAAAACACAACAAAAATCTGTTTTATAAAACAAATACAAGTTTCTGTGAAGCAGCTATATAGCCATTCAGCTTTTAAAAGCATTGTATCACTTTATATGTTTCTAACAGTACTTCAAGTTCCCTAGCATTAATCAGACAAGCATTAAACTGTAAGACTTTGCTTTACTTTGGATTATTAACAAAGTCCTTAGGATTATGTGCAGGGAATACAGAAAATCGCATCTGAAGGTTTTGGAAGATGTATCCATTGCAAGTTGTTTTGGATAATTCATACTTGTTTATAAAACTGTAATATCTTTTAATAGCAAATATGAAATCTACAGGAAACTCCAAAAACCAAGAGAAGAAATGACTAAAATCCACAATCCCAAAGAAATGAAATCAAATTTATAAGAAAACAGGACTTTCTCCACTTGTTTTACTCTAGTATCCAATTCAATTAGGCCAGTAACCCTCAGAGAAAGGAAGGAAAGTATCAGAAACCGAGGTTGGGGGAAGGAAGAAGTGGATGGAAGCATACGCAACATAAAAAGTTTAATCTGTTCTCAGTCAAGCTACTGAATATTTTAAAATTTCAAACATTTCAGGACAGTGTGAGATCATTACCAAAACACGGAACTAGGCCAAAGATTGTTCGCTACAGAAAAACCACACGCATAATTCATTATTTTTGATTCTGGGTTCAGAGAACTCTAATTAGTTTTAAAAATACAATTTCTACAGGACTTAATTTTTTGGCAGGTTTACATTATGTTATCTTCCTTAACGTTGAAAAATATCTGCTCATTTAAAAACCTGTTGATTTACATGTGGTTTAATTTAAAAATAAATACGGGCCAGGGGCGGTGGTTCATGCATTCAATCCCAGCACTTTCGGAGGCCAAGGTGGGGGGATCACCTGAGGTTAGGAGTTCCAGACCAGCTTGGAAAACACAGCAAAATCCTGTCTCTACTAAAAATACAAAAAAATTAGCTCGGCATGGTGGTGGGCACCTGTAATACCAGCTACTTGGGAGGCTGAGGCAGGAGAATCGCTTGAACCTGGGAGGTCGAGGCTGTAGTGAGCCAAGATCACACCATTGCACTCCAGCCTGAGCAACGGAGCAAGACTCCATCTCAAAAAACAAAAAACAAACAAAAAGACATACGAATATTAATTAATTAGCTCACATCCACCATTACAAATTTTCTTTTTTTGAGGAATTCCTGGCAAGTTCCACGGTATGCCAAAGAGGCAGAAATGAAATAGATGCTGACTTTTCCACCTCTTTGGTAGCAGAGCTCCTCTGGGCTCTTCTGTTACTCCTCTATCACTTGGCACAACAGGCTTCCCCTTTAACATGGAAGGTATTCAATAAGGGCCAAAAATCGAAGGACCTGAGGGTCTACTCCCAGCTTTGTCCTTGGCTTTTTGGGACCTGAAGCAAGTCATTTAAACTTTCTAGGTCTAGCTCCTGTCTTCCATTTGCAAAATACATGGGGATGACTGAAAGGACCTCAAAAATCCCTTCCAACTCTAAAATTCTCTTTTTAAAAAACTGGTTAATTGGCCGGGCGTGGTGGCTCAAGCCTGTAATCCCAGCACTTTGGGAGGCCGAGACGGGCGGATTACAAGGTCAGGAGATCGAGACTATCCTGGCTAACACGGTGAAACTCCGTCTCTACTAAAAAATACAAAAAAAACTAGCCAGGCGAGGTGGTGGGCGCCTGAAGCCCCAGCTACTCGGGAGGCTGAGGCAGGAGAATGGCATGAACC